CATTTGCGGGGAAAGGGTAGAATGGAGAGGCAGTGGGGAGTATTGGGGGAGCAGAATTCTATCCCAGCATGCATTGGGAAAACAGCAAGAATTGCGAATCCATTTGCAGGGCAGACACACACAAGCACAATGCTCTCACACGTTTGTACTTACAGGCAATTTAGAGTTTCCAATTAGCCCACACCGAAATGTCAAAATGAATAGGTCAAAGCAAGATAAATAGCCAGATGTACCATACAGTGTCTACAACGAGAGGACTCTCTCATTAAAACTCACCTGCAGAAGGTCGCTCAGGTCCAGTAACATGTCTGCACGATGGTCAAGGGGATACTCGAAGTGAGCGCCCGTGAGCTTCATAACCCTCACCGTGCACAGCAACCTCATTCATCGGACAGCCGTCGCTTACATCGATAAAGCAAGCCTGGCGGCGCTGCCAAAAGCCTAAAGGTTATTATTGAATTAGGCAGCGGCTGCACCTGCGACCGACTGAAGATGCGATCACACTTGTGGCCTCCGCCACCCCCACAGATAATTTTAAACATGCTTTTTTTTCCCCCCCAAGGTGACAGGTTTGCCCTTTAAACTCATGTTTTGTTTTGCTTGCTACGACAAGGGAGCAGGTGGAGAGCACACTGTAGGAGGAGTGGAGATCATGGGGGTAGATAACTCGGGAGATTGCAAAACCGTGTTTCTAGCTCCAGCAAGATCTCAAAGTGATGGTGGCACAGTGGTTAGCACTGCAGCCTCATAAGCAAGAACCTCTGGATTCAAATCCCAGCACGAATCCTCCCAGAGTGGAGTTGGCATTTTCTCCCTGTCTTCATGTGTCTTACAGAAGAAAATTGGCCTCCATGGCAATCCGGGACATCTACAAGAGCATTCATTAACGCACATTAACTTTATTAAATAAAGTTAAACAACACCCCAGGAAGAGAGGGCCATGTGTTTAAACTGTGAACTGCACTGCTGGAATTATACACAAGCAGACAGTAATCACTGGGTCTATACAGGAGTTCACATTTATTTTGCAAACTTCTAAAACCAAAGTAATGGACAACGAGTGCATAAAAGGTGATCGATAAAGCTGCACAATGTATATAAGATAAGTTTAACTTAATATAATGCATCAGTTAACGCAGTTAAGAGCTTTCAAAAGAGGACTAGGCAGTAGGTATTAAGTCAACTACAGCTGAGAGAGACACAATTAACCACCAGGCAACAAACTCAGGCATGACTGTGAAGGAAAGAAACTCACAACTGTGAAGCACATCTCCCCACCCTCAGATGCAATTTTGCCCAAATCTCAGAAAAACAAATTGAACATCCCATTTCCACATTTCCCTCATGCATAAAAGGCATCAGCAGCGCATTTGTGATTATTCCATTTGAATGATTCAGGCGAGTGGCTTAACTGACCTAACAGGAGCTCAATAAATCAATGGGTTGTGGTAGGGGCCCATCCACACTTTGCTGTCGGTGTCAATGCTCTAAATGGTACAGTATGTGAGCCGGTATGAGTGAGAAGAATTTGCTTCGAACCAAATTCATTCTCCAGGCCCAGCATACACGCAGACTAGTTAACGAAATCCAATCGTTTCACTCTTACCTTGCGTTGTCCAATTCACCGCACAAAACAAACATTATCTCAGTCTTGAGTTATGAACCCTATTTCTATTACTTTATGGCCAAGTAAGACAACATAGCAGCGATTAAAAGAACATTTTGGCTCATTTCAATATTTGACAGGAAAAATTTGCCCCTGTGGAACTCAAAGACACGCAAATATTCTCAATTTAAAAAGGGAAAAACATGGAAATAAATGTCATTGCTCAAATTAGTCACTTATTTTTTTTCTTTTTGCAGTGTCCATGGTTTTTTTGAACCTGTGCCTCCATGCGATTTGGCCCAACTCCCAGCGACCGCCCTCTCCCTCCCTCCTCCCAACAACGGTCTCCGTGGCAACAGTCGCACCTGTCCTCGTGCAGTCACAGGGCTTTACCACGCGCAGTGAGATTATGCCACCCCCCCAAGCACCCCCAAAACTGAAAGGATAATCCCGCACGGTTGGGAGATTGCACACAATTCATCACGAAAATAATCAAGATTATCGCACCCTTGATAAATGCCCCACATAAGCCTCAGTTCTCGTAGAAACACGGCGGCCTCCTCATCCAGAGTTATTACAGGAAGGTACAGCGATGCAGTGGACAGGAAGGTGAAACGCTAATGCTAGCAGCGGACAATTTGGCTTCTGCCTTCAGCTGAGGAACACATGGACAGACAGCAACAGAGGGGCTCCCACTGTAATGAAGCACTGTCTGTAGCAGTTTAGTGGAGAGTACAGAGCTCCACTGCTTGCTGTATGTCGCAGTAAGATTTTCCACAGCTCGTGGGGGGGGGTGTGTGTGTGTGTGTGTGTGTGTGTGTGTGTGTGTGTGCAGCCATCTTTAGTCATCCCCGAGGGGGGGTGCAGCCATCTTTAGTCATCCCCGAGGGGGGGACTCTGGGTTTTCTCAGAAAAAAAAACAAAACAAAACACAGTGCCCTCACCACTCCCCAAAACGACACCAGTTTTCCAATGATACCCCCCAACAAACACACACACACACACACTATTCAGCTATTCACACAAGGGTGGAGGGGGCTGTGCAGATAGCGCGTTACGCTACGCTCCCACAGCGCAGGAACACTGAAAACACCAGTGCGACTCCCCTCTGGGAAACTTTCCACGAATGGGAAAAACAACACAAGCTTGAGGCTGACTTAACAGCACGTAATTAGTGGAAATCAGGTTGGTAAGGACACCCAAGTTGGGGGAGAACTTCACTGCGCTGGTTCATGGCAAAACAAAGAGACATATCGAGTAGCTCTGTCTTTCTAGTCGTATATTTAAACTTGATCTTTTTGCTGAGCAAGATAACATCATCTGCCAAAACAGTAATATAATTAGACTCACTTCAAGATTTTACTGGTGGGATGAGAAAATGCCAGTAGTTAAGCACATGGTAACATTTTAATAGTAATATTTTATACTTCAGGGAGAGGAAAGAAAAATACAATTGAAGTAACACAAGACTACAGCACTGTTTCAGGTCATCAGCAGCAGTGCAGCCCCCCTGCTGGTCACACACAGGCCACATGAGCTCTGCTGTGTAGTGGAGCTGTGCGGGCGGAGGGCTGGTCTCACTGCCTCCTGGGGCTTCTTTCTGCCAGGGTTAAAAATAACGGCGTGTGCCCTGCCCAGCGGGCCCCTGGGGATCAGGCACGCCTGCGTACATTTCCTCTCAATGGAAGCACAACCACCTCTCACACACTCACTCACACACACAAACAGTACCAGTCAGAAGTTCAAACACACTTTCCTCATGTGATAGCACTCCATTTCTAGCGTAATGTTAAGTGGCTGAACAACTGTAAATACCCTCAGATGGCATAAGGAGAAAAGTAAATCTTCAGAAGTTAAAAAAAGAATCATTTACTTCACAGAATACCACCCAGATTTTTTTTAATTCTTAAAGAAGCCACATTCAAACAAATTTTCAAAGAACTCAATGAGAGTCAAGCTGGCTTCAGACTTGCTCAGAAAGGTCAAGGAGAAGCAAACTTCAAGTGCACCATATCTTCAAGTTCTCTCAGAGAGATTTGCCTGCCCATGGAGAAAAAAAATTGAGTACGCTCAGCAGTTACCATAACAAACAGTGGTTACTTTGATGAGTTTAGAATTAATATCTGTTTTTGGTAAAGTAAAAGGTGTTTCTCACATATATGATACAATGTGGGTGTGTTCAAACTTGACTGGTATTGTAAACAGACACAACCATAAAAACTCAGATAAACAAAAACACACATGCACACATGAACACATAAAAACGCGTACAAATACATGAACAACCCCATCACAACAACCTCTCGCACATACACTCACACCCACCGCATTTATAACTCTACAAGAGCAAACGAATGCAGATGAACTCACTGCTGGCATGCGCGCATGCAAACACACGCACACACACACACAAAACAAAGACACGTGCACACATAAACCAACATACACATAGAGCAAACATGAAATGGAATTGGAAACAAAGACAGATAAAATCTCTGCTAGTGCGCACACAAAACAAGGACAGATATGTGCGCGTGTGCGCGCACACCCACACGCGCACGCACCCCGAGAGTGTGAGAGGATAGGAGAGGAAGCAATGGCAGATGAAATTTCTGCTGATGTGTGCGTGCACGCGTGCACACGCGCACACACACACTCACCCCGAGCGTACCACTGCACAACGAATAGGAGAGGAAGCAAAGGCAGATTCAATTTCTGCTGATGTGCGCGCGCGCACACACACACACACACACACACACAAAATCACCAGAGACCCTCCATACACCCTGTGTTCCCACAGCATCTGCTTGAGAGGCTTTCATGGTGAATTTAGAGGAAACAAAGCAGCTTTTATAAACATGTTCAATCAATCTAATCCTAATTGTTACAGCAACTCCCCTGGACACGCACAATTTACTTCATTTCACAATCATCACGTTCCAGAAATTGGACAACTTTTCAAAGCATCTCGATTCACACCACGTCTGCGACACCACGCACACAGAATGCTGATGAACAATGTGAGAAATGCACAAAGGGCATTGCTAAATACTTCTACATGGTCTTTTCCACAGGGAAAAAAGCTCATCGTAAGACAGACATCACCCAAACCCAAAAATCATTATTATTGCTATTAATATAATTTGAACTAGTTGTACCAGTAGCAGAACAAACAGAAGGAAGACATGCTTCATTGAAGCCCATGGGGCGATTTGTCCTCTGCATTTGACCCATCCTAGCTACTTGCACCAGGACCAACGTCAGTTCTAGAGCAAGACCTTGAAAAGGGACACTGGTTCCTACAGCGCATGTCTTTCCAGGCGGGGGAAACCGAAAAACTGGAAGGAAACCCACACAAACACAGGGAGAACATGAACACTCCATGCAGAGTGGCCCTGGCCAGCAGGGATTTGAACCTGCAACCTCTTTGTTGTGAGGTAACGGTGACAACCACTGCACCACAACAAGTATTGTTGCAACACTAGTTCTAGAACAAATCTGATACACAGCGATAACGGAGTTTGGCTGGCTGGCCGTTTCCACAGGCTGCATTGATTAGATAGCCAGTGTGTATCCTGGTGCAGCGGAAGTATTGAAGACCACCACCCAGCCACTGAGTCAGTCTCTGAGCCCCTCAGTGTGGACAGCCTCACACACCTATCAGGACAGAGGCTCCCTGTGGGACAGGATGTGGTGGAGACAGCCAGGCAGATGAGCTCAGCCCAGGGAAATTACTCATGCCCCCTTCATACTGGATCTTACTTACTGTATCTACTTCAGTCTGCACACACTCCCTATATTCCCTCACTCATTAGCTTATTAGCCAAGCACTCGTGTCCGCGTAGGCCCACTGCTCCAGAGAGCACTGATAATGGGGTTACAGCAAGCTCCAGACAGCGCCCATTCCACCCAGAGAAAGTCAGAGCACATTGCAAAGCCACTGCAAATGTGGCGCCATGACATTATTAATCAAGAGAGGCACCGTGAAATTTGGGGCCCAATGCACATGCACTCTCTGTCAGAATCCTTAAAGGGACAGTTCACCCAGATATCAGAAAGATAGCCATGCAAAGCATGGCAATATGCCCACATGGCAGCCTTGTCAATGATGTTTTATTTGAGTAATAACAGGTGTAAAACTGAACATGGGCAACCAAAATTAATAAAGATCTTATTATGCCATCACAACTGCCCCTAAAAACAAAAACAAAAATGACTCGACCAAAACTACCATGAGTGAGACCAAGCTATATATAAGCCATTCTGTTATTAAATTTTAAAACTTTTTTATCTATACGCCATGTTTAGGGATGTGAAAAGTTCAGTGCCACAACTCCGTGACTAATTCTGTGATCATCACCAACGTCAATAGGGATCCTCTTCATACCAATATTAACCAACAAAACAAACAAGAAATGGATACAGCAAATATTGTACCCTGTAGAGTGAGAACAACCCATGTATAAGCTATGTATCAGGATGTGCCCAGTTCGGTGCCACAGCTCCCTGAAAAATTCTCCAATCATCAGCAAAATCAATAAAGATCTTCGTCATATCACCAACAACTCAAAAAACAAATGTAAAGCATTCAACAAAAATGGTAGTCTGTAGAGTGACAACACAAATTTTTGGATGGACCGAGGGACAGACCAACAGACCAACCAGGGCGATTCCAATATATGCCCATCCGGCAGAGTGGGCATATAAATATTTTTCCTCTTACATTTACTCCAATTAATCCATCCATATTATTTAGGTGCGAGTTGCAGAGAGTTGGAGATATCAGCCCAAGATATGTCTGCCTTCTCTCAAACGCAATGAAACTAAATAGCACTGGGCTTGTGGAGTTCAAAGCGCCAGAAAATACATTTGAAAAATTCAAGGTACAGGTTAGAGAAAAAATATGTATTTTTGGGGAAATGTTGGAAGAGTAAGTTTTTTTTATTGTTTCCTCTTCTAAGTCGGTGTTAAGGGGAGGACAAAATCATTCCTCAGTACCCTCACACCTTGAAGAGATAAGGATAAATTCTTGATCGAAGTAAACTCACCTGTAGCTTAACTTTCATCCAGGCCAGTTGAGCCACCCCCTACCTTGAGGCCCTGACTGGCCGATCCAACTGTCCCGCCCACTCCCGGTAGCTGCCCCTTTTAGCAGCGCGTTAAAAGGATACGTGGCGTCCCTTCCGTCCTGCACACCAGGTAGAGACAGGCAGCGGCCACATGCTGAGTCCTCCTCCCGCGCGTCAGATGTTTGTTGAGCGCCATCTTGTAGAAGTTGAAGGCCGTGTCCAGGCAATGCTGGTTCATTTGCAGCTGGTAGCCCAGGTGGTTTATCTGGCGTTTCCCTGCGAACAGACGACACACCCTCGCACGCATGAGAGATGCCCCAAACTGGGGCTGGGCGATACAACGATACACATCATGAAAACGATATAACATTTTCAACCGTAAGAAAATTTTTAATCATTATATGCAAATGTGCAGTTTATATTTCACCTCTGACTGGCACAAACTTGAAAAAAGGTTTACATTTTTTGTTTGGGACTGCCTTTGCGCACTGGTCACGTGTACAGAATATGTATAGGAGCTGCATATGACACGTTTTCACATTTCCTAAGAAGGTAATGTAAATAATAAGGCACGCACCCACAAAAATGTTTTATCCAAATCTTTGAATAAAATGCTGAGCACACCACATTTTGAAGTGTGGTTACACTTCCTATATGATTTTCATGCATTCAGTGTCATTTGGAGGACAACGGAGTTTTGTGCCGAAAATTACAGGGCACAATACGCATGCTCAATGCTTATGCATAGAGGATTGTGGTCAGGGCAATGGCAGCATTAGCTTATCCCACTAAAGTGAAATGATTTAGTGTAGGCATCATCAAGCTACTGTCGTCTGTAAAGCATGACTAAACACCACACGTCTTAGCAAGGTCAGTGTTAATGTGACCAAGATATTCAACACTGAACAAAAGCTTTTTATCATGCCTTTTCTTTATTGCAATCACACATTTATATGTAACGCTATGGCTGGTAGCAAGAGTATGAATGAATATTAGTCAACGGTGATTATGAATAGCTATAGATGCAAGTATGAATGAGAGCATCTGATGTGCCAACAATCATCAGTATGAGACCAACTGCTGAAGATCTTAATGTTAATACGGACATGCCTGATAAAATACGTTGATATATCTGTGCATAAATTCAATGCCAAATCGGTACGAGGCAAAAGCTGGTTTCTTATTTTCAGCTTCCTTTTGAGAATTCCTGGTCCGCCTTAAATGTTTTATCGCTATTTTCCTGAGAACAATTCCAAAAGGCTTACTTAGTCCAGGGCAGCGAGCAGCACACTGCTCACTTTTTATCTTCAAAAATGGGCAAACACTCTGAAAGCGATGTGATTCATACCTGGCTCTATACACGTACCACGCAAGGACACCTGAAACCCCAGCTTATTTTTTTACAGCTTTGAACTTGATGAGAGCAAATTTTACAGGTTCGCCCAGCCATAATATTACAGAAGTGGCACTGCACTTTCTTCCCAGTCACATTTCTGCCAGCCTCAAAGGGATTTTTGAAAATTAAACTTTTTTAAAACAAAATATCATATCATTCACAAGTTAAATACTTCAAAGTATCAAAATGCATTTGAATTAAGAAAGAAAAATAAGAATATTTGCATGTATTGTCACAGTAGCTTAACTTCAACAAGTTTTCAGTACCACTAATGGACTGGACAAAGGGCAACAATCAATTATCCAAAAGCCAGACAACAGTTATTTGCATTAAACAAAAAAACTGGCATGTCGTGATATGCTTTGGGTGATAATAAATATACTATATCGCAAAGTAAGATTGTGGCCTTATCACCCAACCCTACCTTGAACACCAAGTAATCTACAGCTGCACAGTACCAGAGGTGCTGACGTGATGCTAACGAGCTGTTAGTGCACGACGGAGACTCCCAATAGCTTAAGCGAACAGATACGCACCTGCCTTCATTCAGCTGTTTATTGCGAGAACACACCGTTCTAACAATACCTGTCCCTTTCACCGAGGTTTAATTTTCAAGCATCATTGCATTATAACAAGTGGAGGCTTGTCTGTATTTAAAAGGTGAAAATGCTAATGACCACATATAAGCAGTTCTAACTTCAATAACACAAGCATAGATGGGTTCACTGGCTTCAATGCAATGGCTGTAGCTAAAATAACTTTCAATCTTAATTTTTTGAGCCTTCGAGTCCCTCTTTAAAACAACTACGCTCCACAGAGAGACACATTTTCAGACATTATATGAAAGTAAAGGCTGGGTCTTCACATCTCTTACTAAAATACTTGCGCCTGGAACTCTAAAAACATGCCGAAAAAAGAATCGCTCGGCAGAGAGTGGGAAGGCAGTGCTTCTCCTGGTGAAGGGAGAGAAGTCAAAAGGTGGAGTCAAGACCAGAAATAAGTCATAAGCCTGAAAAAGCATTCTCGTTATTTAGACGCCCTGCACGATGACCAGAATTGAGCACTGTGGATACGCAGGCCTGCTTCAGAGGGACCGGTGCGTTACGGAGGTGGTTCACCGTGACTTCCACACATCTGGAGGATGGCCAACATTACGTAATGGCGTGGGATTAAACAGGCCGCTCCCAAGGGAACCGCCGGCGAGTCGCTCAAGAGCTCGCCTTTCCTTATTATCTGAACAGTCTTGGAACAAGAACACAGACCAAGACCTTCCCAAAAATTAGCTAAATTTAGCACAGCAGGCGTACTGGGTTACAGTGCAAAAACAGGCACTAAGGGATTGCAATTCATTTGATTAATGAGTATGTACTATGCTTGCAAATTCTCTTACAGTCAACATTAAATTTAAAGGGAATATTTTGGACACAAACTGGAAAGACTTCAATACCAACCAACCTGCACCTCTGCAGTGTGTCGAAGGTCGTGTAACTGTGAAGCAGGGTGAGCGAGTGCAGGGTCCCAGAGGGCAAGGGGTAGAGATGCACCGAAACCGATACTGATATTGGATATCGGTCTGATACTGACTCAAATAGTTCGATCAGGTATCGGTGACAATGGGGCGATTTGTTATTGAGTACTATTATTTTAATTAATGAATATCAATTCAGAACATTTAAATCTATGCATTTATTTATTTGTTACATTTTTCCTTACAAAGTTAGGAACACAATATTTAAGTCAATCCTGATGTTGCCTTTCATACAAAAGAATGATACCCGTCTCTTCCATAGTGAGGCATACAGCTTATTAATTAAATACTGGTATCAAATCGATACTCAGTATCAGCCGATACTCAAAGCCCAGGTATCAGTATCAATATCGGGACTGTGAAAGTCAGATCAGAGCATCCCTACTGTGGGGTTATGGGAGGGCTGAGTCAGGAGGATAAGGGCTCTGAGACGGCAGCAGACCCAGAACACAAGACCGCAGAGGCACACAGCACA